TCGGCACTACAATGTATACATATTTATTGCCTCATTTATTTATTTCAGAATTTATTTCATAGGCATATTTATATATATATGTATTTATTTAATTATTTATGTATTTAATTTTGGCTTAAATGGCATTCCATAGAAACCAGAGTAAATCCAGACGACAGTAGATCAGAAATGCGTCTATTAGAAAAAGTAGAAAGTAGAAATAGTTTTTAGTAGAAATCTCCCTTANCATGAAATAAATAAATGTGTATTTAAATGTATATGTATACATATTTATTGCCTCATTTATTTATTTCAGAATTTATTTCATAGGCATATTTATATATATATGTATTTATTTAATTATTTATGTATTTAATTTTGGCTTAAATGGCATTCCATAGCGATCGGCTATTCTCGTCTACTTTCGAGGCGAGCCGCAACGCGTCTCAAACAAGCCTAGCTGTTTTGGACGTCATCTTCCTCCTGCGAGCGCCATGCTCATTTGCATGCTTGATATATTCACCAGTGTACCGCATTTGATATATAGACGAGGGTGGGATCATCACTAGCTCTAACATTACATGCTAAAGGTTGCACATAAGGCCATGTTATTTTATCTCAATCAGGTCATGAACAGAGAGATACAGCTAGTGAAACAGGTCTTTAGTAACTAGCCTACATAAACATGTTAACGTGAGTAGCTGGATGAAGCGGTTCAGTTTGGGAACGGACCTTTTCTTCCGTTGATCCCTCCCTCTCGGTCCATGCTCGGTCCATCCGGCCAATTGCAGCAGCTCATGTACGGAAATCCTTCTTTTGCCGCTAAAACCAAACTCGCTCCAGTTTCTGCCGTTCCAAGCTGCCTGAATGTTTTGATTACAGATAACAAAAATAAGTAAGTTTTTCATTTACTTCATTATATTCCTTGCTTTTGCATGTTGTCTAGGTCAATGTGTGTCATCGTTGACTGCTTACAGTTCACACGGACAGAGGTTTCAGGCACCGTTGAGACTGTCCACTGTGTTCAGTTAGGATACTTCGTAAGGTTATATAATATGATGAACTCATCAAGACACTAACTGAACCATTAAATACTGAAAAGTCCTTTCAAGTCATCTTGTCATAATAGCTAATTATGTAAGAGCAGGAACTAGTACACTGAATTCAAAAGAAAGGATGTCACTTTCCTACGTTACTTTTGAACGTACACTTCCGATTTAACGTTTGCTTGCTTACTAACAAATAAACATACAAAGGTCTTGTTACACAAATGATAAATAATTTTTAGAGGCGTAATGCTAAATTCCTCGCACATACTTTCCCAGAGGTAGGTATTTTGTAACCTGAAAACTCAATTTTCAGAACTAAGTTCTCTGTTGTTTGTGTTTGCTAGCTTTAGCCCTCTCTTGTCTTTGATGAACGAGGGCTACGTTACTTTGCTAGCTGGGTTAATCCTCAAATGAGGGAACTGGGTTTACTTTACATTAAAGCTGGGCGGGATGCGGTTAAAGGGTTGTAATGGGCAAACGAAGTATCTGTTTACAAAAAAACTCTAATAATAACTATACATAACTCATCGTTTCCCTTTGAGTGAAACAATAGACCGAATCTGTCTCTGTCAGGAAAAAAAACAATAGATAAGGAGTTATTTGTAATCTGTTAGTAGCTCTGTCTTCAGTGGACTGCACATGTTGCTTAGATTCAAGAGCAAATTAGGTTGCATGTCCTTTGTCCTCTCTCTCCTCTGTATTGCCTATCATCTCTCAACTGAGACGTCCAGTCCTAAAGCTGAAGTGCTGGGCAGCAAAGGTCACCCAAGGGCCTAGATGGCCAGCACCACTAGGCAGCAAATCTACAATGTCCACATACTTGGCATGTGTGAAAACTCCTATATGCAGCTGTTTTGTGTCATGAATATATCTTTGCTCAATTTCGAACAGTTGTTCTATCAGTATTTCTGATTGTTCTACAGTCTCAGAATAAGCGTGGCTGAAATCACCAGCTGAACATGGGAATCTCTGGCCTGCTGCAGTTCATCAAAGATGCTGGAGAGCCTATCAGCGTGAACAAATACAAAGGCCAGACCGTGGCAGTGGACACATACTGTTGGCTGCACAAAGGAGCATTCTCTTGTGCTGAGAAGCTCGCTAAAGGAGAACCAACTGACCAGTAAGCATTTTTATTATTCTAGCTGAAATGAAAAGGAAAGTGTTCATAGCTAGGTAAATATTTTCTTTCTAACGGTTAGTGGGTCTATTATTACCCAATTATTTTATTTGTCTATATTATCTATATCCTCTTTTTTTCTATTAATGGGTAATATTGTTTAGAACTGATATTATAATTTGTATTTATCCAATTCTAGGTATGTGTGGTACTGCATGAAATTTGTGGACATGCTGTTGAACTTCGGTGTCAAACCAGTTTTGGTGTTTGATGGACGCAATCTGCCTTCAAAGCGAGAGGTGGAAAAGGCTCGAAGAGAGTGAGTATTAGCCTGTATTGCACTTAAGTGTATGGCTGGGTACATGACACATGCATATTATTGTCTGCGACCTCACAAGTCCTAGTAAAGCCATCAGTCGGCTTCTCTCCTCATCAGAGGTCGTCTCCATGTCCCAAACTGGGACTAAGAGCACGTCAAACTGATCACACATTTTCAACAGTCATAAACACACAGTATGGGTGTGAGCTGTCTTACCTTAAAGGGGGCGCTTTTCTCAAAAAAACTATTCACCCCCTACAATCAAATATTGATGATCATTTACACCAGTTAAACTCTTTTTGTATTGTAATATGTTTTTGCTATTTTTGGAGCCGGTAGCTCCCTAGATTATGTTCCTAGAGTTAGCTTGTTGCTAACTGCTTGTTGCCCCCATTGTTGTGAAGTCTAGCTGCTGCATGCACATCACTTTTGTACTGTGCATGAGCACTGATGGATAACTGCATGCTTTCTGGCAAAGGCTCATCTCGTTGGAAGCAGAGTTCTGTGATCAGAGAATGTGAAACACAGGAATAGGTTAAAGATGGAGAGATACGAAAAGGTTAGCCTTGAAGTTGGCAACTATAAGGCTCAGGCTATGTTAAGGTGGACCAGCCATTCCCATTTCAGCTTAAAGAAAAATAGCTTCTGCTTACACAGAATTGTTGTACCATGCGTTAGCAGAGATGGCTAACTGC